CCCCCCCCCCCCCCCACCTGTTCATCATGTTCAAGCACTGAAGAAGATGGATTTATCCTGGTGTATTGATATTGAATTGCAGTTTTTGGCAAGACTGGAAGTCACTGACTATTGGTTTGCCAATATCTCATGGACATTGTTGTTATAATATCCTTTATTTCACATGGTTGAAATGCATTCTGGATGTTGGAGGAACCAATTTTGAACAGCTGTTGTGATTGGTCATAGTGGTGACCCTGGTGGCATTGTGTGACAATTGTGGCATTTCCATTCATACAGTGCCTTTGTGTAACTTCATCTTCCTATGTTGTACCTTTTGTGAGATGTGATGCATTGAGTTGCAGAATTTTCTTCCTAATCACCCTGTATTTTCAGTCAACCTAATTTGAAAAGATAGTTTAAAACATTTTTGGAGAAAACTATTGAAGACTTGTTTTAGTACATTAATTTTAATACTGTAGGAGTTATGTTAGAACTACTTGTTACATGTTTTTTTAATGATTAACTGGGTATATTTTATTTTGTACTTGATGATATCATAAGCCATTTGTATATTTTTTCAAAGATGCAATAGCATTTAATTCCTAGGAACTGTAATGAGCTCTTTCATTTTTCCTTCATTGACATAGGACCAAGGTGGGCATCTTGGAATTTGGGAGTTTTCCTTTGCATTCGATGTGCAGGCATTCATAGGAATCTTGGTGTTCATATTACAAAGGTCAAGTCTGTTAATCTGGATACATGGACACCAGAACAAATTGGAGTGAGTACTAGCCAGTTTAAAAAAAAGTAATTTAACTAAATCTCTCTCTTTCATAAAAAGCTATATGTTATAAAGAATACATGCCACCCAGAGCCAAGTAGTGTGTTAATGTAAGGAATAATGGGTCCATGTGAGAGTTAAAATATAATTCACTAACAAAGTATATAAAAGGTGTATGAAGAATTCTTTGACATGGGGGAATAAGTTTCATAATTCAACCTGACATTCTGTTTCTTCAGATGCTTATGCTTCTGTATTATAATGAAAGTCAAAATATATTTTATAGAATGCTATTATTAAATTACTGAAGTGTGACTCATTAACAACTACTTACTCGAATACAACTGTGTCGAGTACATTATGTTAAAACAATTTTTTGAGATTTATCTCATAGTTGCAGTCCTTGTAGCTAAGTCCAGTTTTTCACCTGATAACCATGCATTTTGACAGTAGCCGTACAGTTTCTATTGCAAAAGACTCCATTATAGGGCTAGCATGTTCAAAGGTTACCATTCCTCTCTATAAGCTTTCCATAATCCATCTAGCATATAAAGATGACAGCTTCCCGGTACTCAGTGGCTGTTACAGTAGTTCAGCAACTTGACTGGTATCTCTTTTGTATGGATTAGCATGAATACACATTTCATTTTTAAACTGCTTGAGGTATGTAACAGTTGAGTGGATATTTCATGGAAGCAGCTTGTGTACACATAATTGTGTTGCTTTTCCAGATGGAGTTCCGTTTTAATTATGTTGCATACTGTTGACTAGACACAAAGCTTTTCCCACTGATGTTTGGGCTGTGATTCTCACCTGTTACAAGTTTCCACATGCTGCTGGGGAACAATTTATTTAAGTTCTCTTTCTGGATGTTCCATTTTCCATTGTTTTCCAATGCCATTAAGTACAAGGGATATTCGAGTAAAAGATGAAATTTTTCAAAGTTTTACAGTCCAACCCAAATATAATGCTTTACAACATTAATAACAGAAAAATTTTAAGTGACAGTGATATTAACCAATATTACTGTCCACATAGAAATGGAAAATTACAACTTAGGAATAAATCCACAGACTATAATATCTGAAAATAGGCAGAATAAAAACTGTTTTGAACACACAAATAAGAAAGTGAGAACTTTCTGGAGGAATTAGAATATGAATATAAGCATTTTGATTATCTTTCATCATTTAGTGTTGAAGCTTATGAGCTTAGTAGGTAGTCTGATGCTATCAAAAATTGACTGTTGTAGGAAAGGGTATGTAACACTCCTTTTAAACAGAAATCATTCATACACTCAAGATGAACTCATTATTGAATTGTATTAAATATTAAAACTCCCCTCAGAGGACCATAATGTTTTCATCTCCTTTTCTCACTACCCATAAAGTTATCTCTCTTTTGGGGAACTTGACCACACAAGTATCTCTCATGCACTTTGGTTGTGTCCATCTTTGATTAATTCAAAGATCATTTGCAGGTCAAAATAAAGTGTTTTTATATGCTTCTTTTTTTTTTTAACTGTGTTTCAACTTTACATTGTTTCTTACTCAATTTCTGTTAGGAAAAATACTGCAATTATCTGTATAAATTAAAAAAACACATTTGATTCTTTGTTTCAGATTCTGCAGGAAATGGGAAATAGTAGGGCCAGAGCTGTGTATGAAGCTAATCTACCAGACAATTTCCGTAGACCTCAGACTGACTCGTATCCTTTAGGAAAAACTGTTAATGTGAACTACTCTTGCCATTTAAAACTAAGCAATTGATATTCAAGCAAAAAAATATACAACTGATATTAACTGATAGAGTAGCTTGTATGGGACTAAGATTTTATAAATTCAAAATCATGAGATTCCTATTATGTGCATTTATTGCAAGAAGCTTTCTAAAGAGAAAAAAATTGCATTGTGTATGGAACATTTGAATAACAGCTAATGTAGTTTTACACACACACACACACACACACACACACATACAAATGCTTGTTTATGAATATTTTGACCTTTTCCTCCTTCAAAATTTGATTACATTTATTACTTAAGTGGGAAAATCAATATTTTGGTATAGTATTTTTGGTTGCTTTAACCTATATATAGGAAGCATTAGATTCTATTTATGCTCATTTGTCATAATAAATTATTTGTATATCAAAAACTTTCAGTACTCCAGACTGATTACACTTTGGTTTGAAATTTGAACTTTTTTTAGCAGTTTCAGACTGCAAAGACAGGATGTTTGTGCAAATTTGCTGGTGGTTACTTGTAAACAGCACATTAAAATGTTTGTGTTTGAAAGTGCCAACAGTCCAGTAAATGCAAAGAGATTATTAACAATATGGGAAGAAAATACTACATAAGTTAATCTATAAGGTTAAGTATCTTGGTCAAACATCCTAACATTTCGTACTTATTTGTATGTACAGTATGTTTGATACTTTTTAACAAAAAGGGACTTGAACAAATTGTTGAAAGACAATTGTAAGTTGTATTTCTTTGTGCAAAATATTTTAGATTGAATAACAAAAATATTTATATTTAAAATATTTAAAGTAATTTCTTAATGTACTACCAGCTCTTTGGAAGCCTTTATACGTGCTAAATATGAACATAAAAGATACATAGCCAAAGAATGGGTTCCTCCATCCATGCCAAAACCTGCAGTAAGTGTCTTTCCTTCTGTTATACTGTCAAAGCTAGTGTTAAGTGAAGCTTTATAAAGCTCTTAGAGAAAGCTTAGTTTTAACTCTGATATCAAGTCAGCACTTTTAAACTATTCTGCTCATTTAGAATGTGGTGTAAGCCAGAAAAAAACCTATTTTAAATCTTTGAAGTAATGTAACTTGCTGTCAAATGTTCCTTAAAATGATACGTTGAACAAGTGTGGGGAGATATTTGAGGGTAGAGTTTTATGTGGCTCTTTGGGTATAAAATCAGTGGGTATTTTGATTTATGATTATTTAGATACAGTAAAATTCAAATTTTAGTGAAACTGTGTTGAGGTCATCATATTTGCATGCTATAAAAGGTATTGGGAGTCATCTTAGGTCTTTCAAGTTAAAAATATAAAAGTGATTACTTCTCTCATTTCTTGCTTAAAAAGATATTCAGGTTAAACATTGATAGTGTTAAAATTAAAATATAATAACTTTGTTTGTTGTTTCATATAAAGAGAGTCCATTATATTTATGTAATTGATGCTGATTTTCAAATGTGTAAGATATTCTATTTTATTACATTATTGAAAGCCTAAAAAATGGAAACTAATAACATCAAACATTACAAAAACTTTTAAACGATATAATAAATTCAGTGTATATTACTTATGAATTTTAAGTGTGCCAAAAAAATACAATGATAAATCCTTAAATTTTACCAAATTCTCAAAGCATAGTTACATTTATCAAACACTATATGTATTAGCTTAGATTAAAGCATTTTTTTATGATTTTAATTCTTACCTAATTATGCTTTGTGTTATGTACCACAAGCATATTTTATACCTGTTGATTAAGATTAATTAGCTTTTCTTGGCTCTACTCATAAGGTTTGATAAAAGTAGTTTAATGTTTTCATATTTTTATGTTTGTGTGTGTATTCTCTTCTGCATTTAAATGTTTCAAAGTGATTGACAGAAAATGGTATTTTATGAAGTTATTGTCAAAGTGTTACTTAATGCATTTTAGTAGGATAACATCAAAGATTGTTTTTACTCTGTTAAAAATTAACAGAATATAAGTACGTTTTTATTTTCTGTGGTATATGTATAGGTTTTGTATAGACTTGGTTATATAATCAACTTATATTGTAAAACTTAATTCATTTAATAAAGCTGATTGATCATAAGAACCATCAGGTAGTCACAGAAACAAATTGTTTTGTGTTATTGTTCAGAGATTAAAAGTTAGATTTTTTTTTTTTTCCACTTCACATTTTAATTTTTTTCGTATGTTTGCAAAGACAGATATTGGTAATATTAACTCTGTAATCATTTTATTTTTCTAAAGCTTTTGTTGTTCATATCTTTATAGTTTAACATTGAAGAAAAGAAAAAAAAACGAACCAAACCCAAAGGATTAGGAAATATAGAGATCCCGGTAGGTTTTTATATTTTTTGCTGTGTTGTTTATTATCAACTGAAGTGGAAAATGTATATCCTGCCATAAAACTTGAAGGTTATTAAACTTTGCAGTGTAAAAAAAAATACATCAATGAAAGTACTAGTATGACAACTGTCAAAGATAGTCGAGTAAGAGATTTCTTGGGGAGAAAAATCATGAAAATTTTATTTGCCTACTTGTAGATTCCCTGGGTTTAAGTTTCTGTGAAATATTAATAATGTTTGATTGGCTGTAACATACTTTAACTTTCTTTCTAAGAACTCAACTGCCATCTATCTAAAAGGAAGATTTAACTTAACAAACTTCAGAGAAGTTTTGTCAGCTGGTTAAATACTTCTGAAGTGGTACTAATAAAATTCTGAGATAAAACAAAAGAGTTAATTTGAAGTAAAGCAACTTAAATACACATATACAAGCATGTGTAAGTAGATACTTTCAATGAAGCATAACATTAGGAATTCTAAGTTTCAAGCATTCTCAACTTTCTTTACAAAACTTGTCTTACAGACTTAATGCTATAAATTTCTTCTTGATTAATAGTCTTGATAACATCTTTGTTACCTTTGTGTGTGTGTGTGTGTGTGTGTTTGCAGACAGTGAAAGGCAGTTGGAGTTGAGATGTGGGTGTAAGCACTTAACTCCATACCCTTAATTGATTTTCCATGTATGCTGGCTAGTTTAACATCAGTGTTTGGATTTACAGGGTATATTGGATATCTCAAACACATTTGTGAGCTATTAACCCAGACATTATCAGTTATGACTAACCCTTTCGAGACGGGTCGCGGGTG